TAGTGAAATGAACAAGCATAATCAAAAAATTGAATTAACTGGAACAGTAACTTAGACTCGAGAAAAAAGTGTTCACTTCATTAGTATCGATGGTTTCAGAAGTCAATCTCATCACATGAATCTTTTAATATTTTCTTTCAAATTCCGTCAATCAGGTAGTTCAAAAAACTCGAATCTTCTTACCTTGAATAAACAACCGTTCCTTGCTGTCCACGCCAGTATACGAATCAGCATTATAATGTACTGAGTAGGAATCCTCATCGCCTGAGATTAAAATTTTACCTTTGATTGTTGGTCCAGAAGCTGATATCAACTCTTGTATAAAATAAATTTTATATCCATTCTAAAGGAAGAAATTAAAAGTTAAATTGATAAACAATCAGTTGATTGTTCAACTTACGACATCAGTTAAAGTAGCATTAATCACTGAACTTCCTTTAGGTATTTTCAATGGCAAGTTCACCAAAGAGACTGTTATTACAAATAAATATATATTAGGTTAAGATTATTGAATTTTAATTTAAATTCTTACTTGTTGGGATTGTTGAGATTGGGTAAAACAATGTAAAAACAATCAAAAGTTTGAGTAACATTGTAATGGAGATTGAATACAGAAATAAGCAGAAAGCAACAATTTGTTTCCAATTGTTGTTGCTTAACATTTGAAAATGAAATAAATATTTATTGCTTAGTCTTTGATATTAGTCAATAATATTGTATACAAAGTTCACTCAAAGTAAAGACGCCTTGCCTAAATAAATTAACAGATAACTCAGTGATAAACAAAGATATTAAACTTATCAAAGTCAATTGATTCAGTTCATAATTTGTGAATTTGTAAACAACAATAGAAACTGAAAATATCGTATCTAATTACTTAGTTGAATGAAATACAAAATTGATGAAACCTGTAAATAAACAGATTAGATACTGTTTTATCATTACCAGAATCTTTTTGGATTTAGTTGAGATTCTGGTTAGTCAACATGAGCAAAGGTTTCGTCTGGTTTTAAGGATGATACATTTACCCTATTAAGGACTTGGATTAATGATATGCAAACAATGTTACTGTTATGAAGTGCCCAGCTCTTGATCATGATCTAATGGAGAACCTTTGGAGGATGACTTTGAAAATTTTATGCTATCGAATGTTCCTAATCTTGTATCGGCAATCGGCGAAAAATGGCTCGGACGATAGCTCAAGTCTCTTTCAAATTCAATAAATATTAGTATTAATATAATAGATTATTGAAGTTAAGGGTTTGAAAACAAACTTTTGATTTATCATTCACGAATAATTAAGCCCATCTCTAACCTTTTGCCAATCATTTCTGTCAACTAATTTTCAAATGGCTTTAAATTTTGAATCAATTTTTCAATCAAAATACCTAAAGCTTGTAACCCTTGTGTAAAAATAATTTGGAAATTTGGAATCCAATCATTCTATTCGCAATCTTCTTCACGTTTGAAAGTTGTTAACTATCAATGTGTTCCATTATTGTTTTACTCAATCCATAGCTTCATTATTTGATCTCCCCAACTATTTATATAAGTATTATTGGTCATCTTGTGCCTAGTTAGCCATGAAGATGAAAGCTTGATCAGATCTATTCAAGTATAAGAATAGATATTAATGAAACTGATCGATACTGATATCGCTATGAACTTCACTTAATTGGTAGATAAATAAATGAGCGATGCATAATGAGATATCATGGCATTCAGATGATTCATATTTAATGTTATATTTGTAATCAAAAAGGTGTAGTTTGAATGACACGCAAAGAGTACAAAAAGTTATGCTCTATTTTATGTTGTTTTTCCATTTCCCGCTGTAATTTAAATGTGAATGTCATCGTCTGTTTCGACGAGTGACCGCATGCTGGTCAGTAAGGGGTGAGAGTAGTAAAGGTTGACTATTGTGTTAAAAAGGCGGAGCCTATTTTCCTACATAGGGAGAGAAGTAGTACCGTTGCATACGCTTCTTACGCGCAGAACGGAAACGGAAATACCCCTAAAAACACTACCCCTCTCATGCATGATTAATTTCAAAACTAAACTGAATTTACGCTTGATTGATTTAACGGTTGACCTTGAATACCATCTTATGGTCACTATTGTTCTCAATGCTTGAATGCTTCTTCATCACTACACTCGACCGTTTTTGTCACGTGATCTATACTTGTTCCTTTGATTAAGGCTTAACCTGGATGGAAGAAGGGGGACGGATGTTTCCCTTCTGGAATAAACAAGTATTAATGAATGACGATCACTTGACCGTTTGTTACACTTGATTCAGGCTGAATGACATGAGAAAGCGGATGTTCAAACAAGTATAAATAGCCAATCTCAAAATAATAATGCTCAATGATGTATGCTGTTGCCTATGTATCACTTTTGATAGTAGTGCGAGACAAACTTGTTTTAAACTGTTTTTTTTGTTCCTACCTTTCCCTACCTCCAGTAGGTAGGGAAAGGACACAATTGGGGGGTTTCGCTGGGTCGGCCATTTTGTGAGGGAGACGATTTTATCACTCACTCCGCATAAAATGGCCGACATTTTCTTTTGTTTGGTTGCCAATATTGGACCTCGCGGAACCCCTGTTTGGCCAGATATTTAACTGTGACTAGAGTCAACCTAAAATGTTTAATAAAAGTGATAACTAATGTATCAGTGACAAGGATTGATATTCAACGGTGTTTTAAATAGTGCATAAATACAACAAAATAACTCAAGTTACTGTAGTGTTTTAAAGTGCTTAAAACCATATACAGTGATCAGAGCTGAGATTCAATTTGGACGAGTTCAACTTGACTATAAGTGACTAGCATTTGAGATTCTAAGATGTTTTCAGTGTTTATCTTGACTAGAAATAGATACCATTGCAACATCAGTGAACAACCTTGTTCCCAACTCAACATTTCAACCTGCACACTGACATCAAAACCGCGGTTCCAGCTATCCAAAAGTTATCTGTTTACACTCCATAATTGTAACGTCAATGGTCAAAAGCGTAGTGCATCTATGAACACAAAATTAATGTCTTTTTATGAATAAAGAAATAAATAAAAGAATTGAATATTTGTAAATAAAACTCATTTACCCTACAGTAGCTTTAATGGTTGTTTTAATATTCAAAGAATACTTTTAAATTGTTTTCGATGCGCATTGTGAATATAGTATCATCTTGGAAAAAGGATTCCTTTAGCAGCAAGAATTCAAAAAGTTCAGAATGCTGATGTAACTAAAGACGGAAGCAATGTTTATTACTGTTTGAATCCGGTAAAATAATTGCTACAGGTTTTAAATACTTTAGTGATATCTCCATGATAATGATATTTGTAATTCAGTTCTCAAAGATTATGGTTGATTTTGAAAGTATATATTGAACAAATATATTCTCATTCA